CGGTAATTTCGGGGATACAGGTGGGCGGATCCTCTTTCAGTTCCAAACCCCGGTTAATTCTACCAGTCACCCTGTGTCTAAATAAGGTTTCTCACCCCCTCCATGCTCTCGTTGATTCCGGAGCAGAGCAAAATTTAATAGATTTAGCTCTCGCTAGACGCCTTCATTTGCCACTCAAGACTCTCGATCCTCCCATCCCTGTTACCGCATTAAACGATCAAATATTCTCTCAGATAACCCATCAGGCTGGCCCCGTAACCCTCGTCACCTCTGGAAACCACCATGAAGCCATTACCTTATTCACCTTCTCTTCTCCTGATTCACCACTCATCCTAGGCTACCCCTGGCTACAGAAACACAACCCTCATATAGACTGGTCTGGAAGTAAAATCGCTAGTTGGAGCCCTTTTTGTCTAGCCCACTGCCTCAAGTCTGCCCTATCGCCGGGTGCCCCTGACACTAACACCTCGGGCGTTGATCCGGTTGACCTCACACTCGTCCCACCTGAGTACCATGACCTCCAGGAAGTTTTCAGTAAAGACAAAGCGTCGTCCTTACCACCCCACAGGCCTTATGACTGCGCTATCGACCTTCTACCTGGTGCTCTCTTCCCTCTAGCCGGCTATTCAACATCTCCAGACCAGAAAGAGAGTCCATGGAAAAGTACATCCACGAGTCATTAGCTGCAGGTATCATCCGCCCATCCTCCTCTCCAGTGGCCGCCGGCTTCTTTTTTGTGGAAAAGAAGGATAAATCACTCCGTCCATGCATAGACTACAGAGGGTTAAACGACATCACCATTAAAAACAAATATCCTTTACCCCTTATCAGCTCAGCCTTCGAACCCCTCCATGAAGTCACCGTATTCACCAAACTGGATCTCCGCAATGCCTACCACCTTGTCCGCATCAGGGAGGGGGACGAATGGAAAACGGCTTTTAATACGCCCCTAGGTCATTTTGAGTATTTGGTCATGCCGTTTGGGTTAACCAATGCCCCCGCTGTCTTTCAGAACCTGGTCAACGACGTGCTCCGTGATTTCCTGAACCAGTTTGTCTTTGTTTATCTTGATGACATACTCATTTTCTCCAAGACCCCCCAGGAACACCATGTCCACGTCCGAGCAGTCCTCCAACGCCTCCTGGAAAACCGACTTTACGTCAAAGCCGAGAAATGTGAGTTTCATGCACAATCTGTCACTTTTCTTGGCTATATACTCGCAGGAGGGCAGGTGAAGACTGATCCAGCCAAGATCCGCACGATCCTGGAGTGGCCCACGCCCACGTCACGCAAGCACCTACAACGTTTCCTCGGCTTTGCCAATTTCTACCGGAGGTTTATTCGCAACTACAGCCAGGTAGCCACTCCTCTCACTACACTCACATCCACCAAAAGACAGTTCATCTGGACACCTGAAGCTGAGGTAGCATTCAGTAGGCTCAAGCGCCTATTTACTTCAGCTCCAGTATTGTGTCACCCAGATCACTCCAAGCCATTTGTTCTAGAGGTAGACGCGTCCGACGTCGGCGTCGGAGCGGTCCTTTCACAGCATTCAGGTTCCAAGGCCAAGTTACACCCATGTGCCTTTTTTTCACGTCGACTCTCGTCAGCTGAACGCAACTATGATGTAGGAGACAGAGAGTTGCTGGCTATTAAGTTAGCCCTGGAAGAGTGGCGTCACCTATTGGAAGGAGCTGAACACCCATTCACCATCTTCACAGATCATAAAAACCTTACTTACCTCAAAACAGCTAAGCGTCTAAACGCCCGCCAGGCCCGTTGGTCTCTGTTCTTTGATCGCTTCAAGTTTGCCATCTCTTTCCGTCCAGGTTCCAAGAACGCCAAGGCTGATGCCCTGTCTCGTCTTTACGACCCAGACGCTGAACCCACCGAACCAGCTCCTGTGCTTCCTGCCTCCTGCCGCGTAGCGTTTTTATCCTGGGACATAGAGGAATCCATCCAGCGTGCTTTACTGGATGAACCAGACCCTGGCACAGGTCCTCCGGGCCGCCGCTTCATTCCCACAGCAACCCGTTCGGCTGTAATTAAGTGGGCTCATACCTCCCGGTTTTCCTGCCATCCTGGAATCGGCCGCATCATCGCACTACTACACTGTAAAAAAAGTCAGTAAAATATACAGCAAAACACCGTCAAATTCCAACGGTAATGGAGCGTAAAATCAAAAACTTCCTTTTACTGTATTAAATAGATTGAATAACCGTTAATTGTGAGACTGGATAAAACTTTGTTTTTTACTGTAATAAAATGTTGAAATTATAAATATTTTCTGTGAAAACAAATAAATATGCATACATTTTACAATTACATATTGTAATGTTGAAAATGTCTGAAAAACTTAGATTTTACGGTATTATTTGAGTAAAACTACATCTTTTGGGGTTGTGCACATTGGAATTCACAGTATAAAGCTGTAGATTTTTAAGCAAACAAAAACATTCATTTTTACAGAAACAAGATGTTAAAAAATAGGGTCCACCGTAATAATACAACCAGTACATACCATTAAAAAAAAAGCAAATATCAGCAGTGAAAGACAATAAAACTGATAGTATTTTTTATTTTAAAATTCAGATACTGATATACAGATTAAAAGTTAGGCCTGCAGTATATCATTGTTAACCTTCTGATAAAAAAATCAACAGCAAAAGAAGATGTTAAAAATAAAGTTTATGGTTGTGAATAAAATTGATTTCAATAATCTTTTTTAATTATTATTTGAAAAACAACTTTATGTTGTTGTGTTTCACGCCATATTATCAGACCACCTTAAGTGGGTCGGCCTTAAATTTTGAATTTGTGTGATCGCTGTTGATTGGTAGCTAAACTGCTGGTAAACTGTGTACAGACGTTTTACGTTCGAATTGCAGAGAAAAAAAATCTGGTAGCAACATTGTGCAGTATGAGCGAACCATTTCACCAAAAAAAGGGGAAGCAAGGTAAGACGTGGCTGCAGCGGTCTGCAGACGTGACTTCTGATCAAATTCGAACCTCCTAAAGAAACAAAGAGCGACGTTACATTGCGGGATGACGTCACCTGAAAATGACCAATAGCGCGGCGCGCTGCTGAGCTGTGTGCCAACCGCTCTTTTTTTCATGCAGGAGACTCAAGTTGGCTTCGCTAACGGACACAGTTTTGAACTCGTATATTAGCGCCATTTATTGCTGCTTGGACCACAGCATCTTCGGAATTTGTAGACATCCTGGCAGCTTACAATTAGTTCGAGGTGAGTACATGCAACTTCAAGTTATCTCTGTTATAAAAATCCACCAGCCCAGCGTTTATAGATAATAAATTAGTTACTGTTGCGAGGGAAGCATTGCTCTGGATTAGTTTCTGTATATGGCGTGCTTAATTCGCTAGGGAGGAATTACCAAAGTACATGGAGTTATGTTAACGTGTAATTTCTGTGGTAAGGTAGTTCAGTCATCAAGGGGCTGCGTGCTTCATTGTAAACTGCATCGGAATGAGCCACGTTGTTTCTTTCGGTGTATTGAAGCAGGCTGCAAGCAGACATACACCACGTATGGCGCGTTTAAGGCTCATTTTTACCGAAGACACTGCCCCCACCCATGTCACTGGTGTGGTGGTGGTTTCTTCGTTTACATGTGCAATGGCGATGTGTGAACGTCAGTGTCAGAACTCTAAAGAGTTAATAGCTCATCTGAAGAGCCATATTGTGGAAGGACACGTGGTCACTTGTCCAGTAAGAGGATGCACAAATACCTTTAGAGTTAAATCATCTTTTACTGCTCACATGTCACGTAAACACAGAGTTTTCAGACAGCAGCATTGGTGATTTATATAGAGAGTCTGCATGTCAATCATCATCTGTTCCAACCACATCAGATGACTTTGTACCCTTGATTTCCGAGCCTGCTGCACAGTCTATTACACATGAAGATAACATGGAAATGCCCCCTGAATTCTGTGATCTTTTTCTGAGAAACGTTTCACTATTCTACTTAAAATTGCAGGGTTAGTTTCTACTGCCTGCTTCAACCATACAGAACATTGTAGAGGAAATGCAGAACATGCATGAGTTGGGACAGACATACAGTTTGGGTAAACTTGCATCACTGTTAAAAGATGACACATCATTATCAGAGGAGGACATCAACAAAGTCTGTGAGTCTGTCAAAAGCTATGATCTTTTTTCTGCATGTCATACCGGGCCATTGAGGACAGTGCACTCCAGAGCTCAGATCTTTAAAAAAGCCTTCAACTATGCGGAACCAAAGAAAATATTTTTAGGGAGAGATGAAAACAGAAAAGATAGGTTTGCCTATTATGTGCCTTTAAGAGAGACTTTGAGATGTCTGCTAGAGTCTGATCTGTGGCAGAAATCAGAAGAGCCCTCTACTGAGCCTCCTGCTGATGTTCTGTGTGACATAAGTGATAGTAAGCTGTTTTAAATAAAATGATTTTTTTGGTCAAAACCCATTGACTTAATTGATTTCTATCCATTAACATCTTACATGAAGTATGGGTACCAAATGGTTCCACTGAAACACAGTGTGCTGTCACAATAATGGTGCTGTTAGTTTGGTACTTACGAAACACTGTATAAAAGTGTAGTATCAAGCAAGATCAGCTTCATATTTTAAGACCAAAGGTACCACTTGGTGTAAATTGACCTTTATTCACATTCTTTTATCAGACATCTTGGAAATGGGGGGCAGCATAAGGAGTTCCATTACTAAGGTGCTGCCGGACCTGTCTGCCTCAATCCTTGAAATTGTACTGGAGGCACTACAATCATTAGGAGTGGAGACATCTGAGAAACAAACCAGTAAGTATTATGATTTCATTGCACAATAGCCATGAAGGACTTTCTGTTTTTTCTATTATGCTTTGGCCAAGGTCCAAAAAGTACAATTAATCTATTGTTTGTGATATTGTTTTACAGCACCAAATATGGAAATTTCAAGCCAGGCCAGCATATCGTCTCCATCTGTTTTAAGGTTTAAGGGTGGTGGCGCAGCTAAGACCCAAGAGTCTCTTTCAAGGTTAGTAAAGTAAACAGATTCAAGAAGATATTTTACACATTTCTTTGTCGTCTGTCTCTAAATCTTATTTTGTCTTTATTATGATTAAAAAGGTTTGTTTTGTTCCTGCCCTTTTCAGACACTGAATTTGAGCAGAAACCATAAGGATACTCAAAGGACCTGTGACTCTCAGGAAATGGTGAGATTTCAGGTCATAATCTTTTTTTTTTTTCCATTAAATTAATTTTCCTTTTTCCCTTTACAATATTGCTGTTTTGTTTTTGTAAACAGCATCAAATGAGAGAGACAGATGAAACAGTTTCAAGACAATGGCAGGAAAAAAATGCTGAAGATTGAAACAAACCTTGGCTGAAAATATTTGGTATGTGTTTTACCGTAAATCAAATTGTTGAAAAACATTCAGCTACACTGTAACACAGGGAAACTTGATTTGCACTTATTTTGTTACTTTAATTTCTTGTCTCATTATTTTTGTCAGTTATTATTGTTTATGGTGTATGCCCTTCTTGTTTTCCTTCTGAATGCAGAAGGTATCTAGCCAGTCCACAATGAAAGCTTCGTTGCACCCCATGAGTCTTCTGGCAGAAATGATGGCGGCTGTATTCTTTGGTTTCCCTAAACATCACACCCTGCCTGTTTATACGAGGCTCTTCAATTAAGTCTGCACCCAAAGATTCAATAAGAGGTAAGCAGTGGTATTATTCAAGTTTTGCTAAAGAAAGATGGACAGGAGACACTAATCTTAATCAGCCGAGCTCAGGTTCATGTCCAGGTGAGCAGTTTCATACGCTATAAAATGTAGATTGAATGATAGATCTCATCACCATGCATTCAGCCATTAACTTCAAGTTCTATGATAAATCAATACGAAACTTAAATACGTTTTCCAACAAATTATGATTGTGATTAGGGCTGCGTTGTCTATGTATAACTTTTACATAAGTAGATTTAAAGTATAACTATTGCCAAAACGCAACCTGGGCTGTTTTTTTTTTTTTTTTTTTACTGTATCGATTTTGATGTGCTCAAATTTATGCCCCGGCCCCCTAGTATTCCCATTCACTGGCTATTGACCACAAAACAAAATCACGGTCAATCTCAAAAACGGCTTGTTTGTCGTAATTATGCTTTTAGATATATGTTTGTCTCGTTTACAGTAAAAAAAAAAAAAAAACTGAAAAAAACAGCCCAGGTTGCATTTTGACAATAGCTATCCTTTAAGAACTGTATATTTTACACTTAAGAAATCATTTATCATTAGATCTGGTTTTGGCAGCACGTTTTGTTCATTTCTGTGCATTTTGCTCAAGCACTGATCAAACTTTGTCCATTTTTTTTGCTGCAGAGGGGATCCTGCCAGTCCAAAGTGAACTCCTGATGGACATTGAAGTACTCCTGCAGAGCTTGTATCTTCAACACCATGCGCATTAGAAACTCCACCGAGTCCTTTCCTTCACCAAGGCAGGACCCAGTGACTCATTACTGTTGATAGGTCAGGGGCAGGTAATATTTTGTTTCATGTTTATTCATTCCTCCATGGATTACCAGCCATATATATGGACACATGCTGTATTCTCAAGATCTATGCTGTTTTGTAGGAATAGAGAAAATAATATGTTTAGTCTGTTTTCAAATGGTATGTCAAATTTTCTCATTGTTTATCAGTAATATTCTCTACCTTGGTTGTATATGAGCATCTTTAGATTTTTCTATATTTAGCGGTTGCAAATGTAAAATGTACGGTAAACCATTTATGTTCCTCATATTGTACTGTATTTTTAGCGGTAAAATACCGGCAGCTGTGGTTGCCAGGAATTTACCGTAAAATGTATCTGGTCAAAATAAAATGCTGTAATTTGTTATACAATTTCACTGTGTTTTTTACTGTCAAAGGTTTTAATAAGGTTTAACATATTTCTGTTATTTTTACAGTTATTTACAATAATAGGGTCTATCCTATTACTGTTAAATTAACAACAAATTACTGTAAATATTATTATATTATTACTTTTTTTTTAACTGCAAATATCCGTAAAAAGCTATGGAAAGTTGCATTTTTTACATTAAATTGCTGTATAATTGACAAATATATTTGGTTTTTTCTATCATGATTTTGGTAAAATAATACGTTGTCTACCTTAAAAATTAGGGTTACAAAACCAGTATACCGTATTGTCTTTTACAGATTCCACATTTTTTACACGGTATATTCCTGGCAACCACAGCTGCCGGTATTTTACCGTAAATTTGACAGATTTTTTTTTACAGTGTACGTCGTCACTTCTGGTGGGCAACTCTGGAACATGATGTGCGGGACTACGTCTCTGCCTGTGACGTGTGCGCCAGGAACAAGACCCGAAATCAGCGACCATCCGGTCTTCTACAACCTCTAGCCGTACCTTCTCGTCCTTGGTCCCACATTTCCCTGGACTTTGTCACTGGACTGCCTAGGTCAGCAGGTAAAACAGTGATACTCTCTGTGATCGACAGGTTTTCAAAAGCAGCTCACTTCGTTGCCCTGGAGAAACTACCCACTGCCACGGAAACTGCAAGACTGATGGTTGACCACGTCTTCAAACTCCACGGGATTCCTGCCGAGGTCACTTCTGACAGGGGACCTCAGTTTACATCCCAGGTTTGGAAATCTTTCTGCTCTGCCCTGGGTGCTCGAGCCAACCTCAGTTCTGGTTACCACCCTCAAACCAACGGGCAGACTGAGAGGCTCAACCAAGAGCTGGAGTCCATGCTCCGCTGCATGGTTTCCCATAACCCGGCTACCTGGTCAGCACATCTCCCATGGGTGGAGTATGCGCACAATTCTCATGTTTCCGCATCACTGGTCTCTCTCCATTTGAAGCGTCCCTGGGCTATCAGCCTCCCCTCTTCCCTGAGGAAGAGGCTGATTTGGCTGTGCCTTCCGTCCAGCACCATCTCCAGCGCTGCCGCCGCGTCTGGACTCGGACCCAGGAGGCACTGAAGAAAGCTGCTGCCCGCCACTGCCGCTATGCAGATCGTCTACGGTCGCCAGCTCCTCGGTACGCTCCAGGGCAGAAGGTGTGGCTGTCGGCTAAGGATGTTCCCCTTAAAGTTTCCTCCCGCAAGCTGGCTCCTCGGTTTATTGGGCCGTATGTCATCCACTCGGTCATCTCGCCCTCTGCTGTGAAGCTCGAGCTTCCTCCCAGTCTGCGGATTCACCCGGTTTTTCATGTTTCCCAAGTCAGGCCTGTGCTGTCCAGTGTGCTGTGCCCGCCTTCCGACCCCCCTCCGCCCGCCCGGCTCATCGATGGTCATCCGGCCTATACGGTTCAGCGGATCGTTGACGTCCGTCGCCGTGGTCGGGGTCGCCAGTTTTTGGTGGACTGGGAGGGGTATGGGCCTGAGGAACATGCCTGGGTTCCTCGCTCGTTTATCCTTGATCCTGCTCTTGTCTCTGATTTTTTTCAGGTCACGTCGCGGGCTGGGGACCGGTCGGCCGCCGGGTGGCGTCCCTTGAGGGGGGGTACTGTCATGGTCTACGGTGGGTGGCTGGAGTTTCCATTAGGCTCCTGAACTGACCTGGGATCCGCCCCTGGGCAGGGCCAACTCCAGCTCCTGCACACCTGGAGCCTATTGCAGGCTAACCACACATCGATGTTCACTCACTGCCAGTTCGTCATCAACCCATGTTGGTAACAGGTCTTGTGTTTCAAATTCTCGCTGTGATTTATCTTACTAACAAAGACTCTTTTGTACTACAGTTGCTGTACCCACCCTGGCTCACTCCACCTCCGGACTCGGGATACCTAGTGATCATTTTGGAAATCCCTCTGTGCCTCACCTGCCTGCCCTCCTGCCATCACACTCCATCTGGAGCCCCGGATCTCAGGTCAGCCTTTCCACGCCACTCAGCCTCCCCTGGATCTTCATCATCCCCCTCTCAAACACTCCAGGTCCCTAACTGCAAGTAAGAATTGCTGCTCTTATACTGGCCACTTCTGAGCTGCCTTCACTACCTGCCTAACTCCTATATCCTCTCCCCTCAGTGTGACTGTTCCCCACTCAGCTCCGTTCCACTTCTCAGGCCTCGTTCCCTCGCCCTAGCCACGTTCCCCTGGGCACGCCACACCAAGGCTCCACGTCTCGTCATTTTCTGTCTTTGCCACGTTTCCCTTTTTTTTTTCCCCTTGCACTTAACCGTAATAAACTGTTAAATCATCTACTGTCTCCGCTCTGGGTTTCTGCACCTGAGTCCTATTCAGTACCGGCCATCCGTCGCCGTGACACCTGTATGGCAAATTATGCAGCGAAACCTGCTAAAGAGAAGATGTGTGTCTCATGCGTGTATGTTTAGGACTAAAAACAGGTGTAGAAATCACCTTTCTCTGATTTTTTTTTTTTTTTTTTTTTTTTTTTTCCCCCCATTAGCACAAATGTAAAAAGGCTCCATCTACAATTACATAGAAGGAGCTCTTTATATGCAATATTTTTGTTGAGTGACTTTTGTGAATATTTATTTGAACGCTTTTGTTTTTGATGGTAGATTTTGGTTGTTGCTGCTTGAACAGCTGCACCCATTGCCCAAAGTGCTCCAGGTACTCTGCACTTTATTGCATTGCGTGACTTCATGAACACATAAACTGAAACAGCAAACTCTGTATGTTGTATGCCTCCTTATTTACACAGACAGGATGTGAGTTATATCAACATATCTTATTTGGGATGGTATGATAAGGTGAAATGTTAGAATCAATATAAACCAGCTTTATAAGTGATAATACCCCCACTTAGTGTGCCAATATGACTGTAATGCATTTATCACATTGTCACAGTCTGTATTTTTAACTAATAGCATATTGATAACTTGAAACTATGAGTTACTGATGGGTATACATCGTCCCATCATCCCGTCTCATGGGATGCAACAATATCTTATACTTTTTCCAACTATGCCACCAGGAGGGCTCCCTACATATCTTTCTTTTTCCTGCAACATGTATGATACAAAACTATTAAAAGAAAAAACCCTCTTAGAAATAAGAAGAGTGTCAGGAAGAAAGAAAAGTAGACCTGAAACACACCCTCTCCACTCAAAAGCAGACTTCCATTAAGAGAAAAGTGCATCTCTGCCTCTTCAGATTCCATTTGAAAACCTCTTTCTGACCACCTCACTGTTTTATTTCCACGTCTCAATGCATGGACCTCTCGAGAAAGAACTTGTCATGTCTGCCTCTTATAGGCAAAAAAAAAACAAAAAGAAGTCGTGGCACTCTAATTTTAAACCAATATATTTTCCTTAAAATGCAATAATCAAATATCTTAAAAAACTTTTATTTTTATTAGTGTTTTTTATTCCCACACTGGTACTTCT